GTACGTAGTGGGCACGAGCAGGGCGCTTCTCCGACCGTCTCTGTCACGTTGCATCCACCATTGACCGAGCGTAATGTGCTGGGGGATGGAGTTGAGATGCCGTCCTCTCTGTCCGGCGCGGCTAGGCCCTGCTTTTCAGTGCCCAGTGTCCCTCTTTCTGCACTGGCTTTTGACTTAGCACCCCCGGCAGGAAAGTCCGCCGACAGCATGCCAAGCTCTAGCATGGTCTCATATGAGAGATACATTGAATGTACAGCGTTGCTGACGTAAATCATCGAGCGGCAGGTGGTGACTTCTCCCCCAGAGGTGTGGCTAGTTATCCTTGCGAAGAACGCACCCTCTATCGGGATAGGCGATCTGTTGGCCGCGGACATGCCGAGCTTGACACGGAACAGACTGTCCCGAGAGAACCCGTGGGCCAAGTACTCTTTAAGAGACCACAAGTCAGACTGCGCACCTGTGTCTGCTACTGCAGATACCTGAGCCCGGACCGATGGATCCGGGGGAGCCCGAGGTCGGTGCTTGGCGGACATGTCAGCAGAGATCGTTATGTTGACCCGGGGGTGGTCACGGAAACGTGCTTTCTTCCATTCTCCTTTGTTAAAGATATGGTGGTCCAGGACGACGCTATTGACAGTGTTCTTCCGGTGTGAAGGTTTCTTCCGTCCTGTTTTTTGTGCTTCCCGGCCCACTGAGCAGGCTTCTTCAGTGGTCATCTGAGAGACCGTGTCGGTCTCTACCGTCTGTGCGGCAAGCTCAGTCTGAGGCTGGGCCGTCGGTGAGCGTTTATCTCGACGTTTTGCACGGAAACAATCCAGACAACGAGGGTGAGGTTTTGCGTTCCACCCACGAGGGCCTTCAGTGAACACGCAATAGCGTTTGTTGCAGTCTGGACAGTTGACCTGTCTCGTCCGATCTGCAGCAGATGGGACAGGTGTCGACACCTGAGGCCCTGGGGCACTGCGCTGCCGTCGGAGGGTCGATACCGCTGACATCGACGGGGGAAGAGCGTTGCGGGCCATTTCTTTGGTTTCCACCAGCGCGATGACGTCATTTACGGCCATTGAGTGAATTGTGCGATCGCCTATCACCTCGCGCCGAATGTCGCAGTCCGATATTCCGTTCAGAAGGACGTCCCGGATCACGTGATCGGTATAGTCCACCTGACGCTCGCATTTGCAGTCAGCCTTGAAGTTACACGTTTCAGCCTTACCGCGTACCTTCGCAGCGAACGATCTGAAAGGTTCGTCGCGCTCCTGTCGCAGTTGCAGCAGTTCTGAGCGCAAGACTCCAAGAGCGACAGGGATCACTGCTAGACACCGCATGCACTCGAGCACATCGGACAGCGACCCATTCACGACTGAAGCATTTGCTTTCAGCATGCTGTCGCCAAGCTCGGTACTGGCACATTGGAAGAGTTGCGACGGCGCTGATGCGTCATCTATCCCAGACCCTGTCCGGAAGACATCCCACCGCCGAACAAACACGTTCCATTCTTCGGTGGTGACGCCAACATCCACTCTCGGGCGCTCGAGCTTTGGTCCTTGTCTGACGGGCGCGCGAGCAGTCTCCGATCTGGATTGGTGAGCTAGGCCATGATTGGTGAGGATGGCGATGGCTAGGGCTTCCGATACATCGTCACTACGAAATTCGCATGACGGCACTGAGCAGGTCACGATCACCATTTTGTCTCATAAGAATCAATAGCCGGCTTTTACTAAAAGTTTACATGTTTTAAGATGATTTGGTCATGAAGAAACTCCTCGTTCGTGAAACATGTATTAGAACGATGACCAAATCATCTTAAATGCCCGTTAGTAACAATAGGATGGCACCTAAACTAATTAGCACTGTTCAGTAATTAGCACGTGCCCCATTTACCTAAGTACCGCTCAGGTAGCATCTCTGCAGGTACATCGTAATCAGGACGTTACGTACTATCCACTGACCAAGTTTGGTCCAAATCGTAGGGGCTCACCTGATTCCGAATCTTAGATTATAGATTAGGATTCACTTACATCTAACTTGACGACCGTAACGCATCAAAGATTTTGAGCGGGCCTTTTCGGCACACGTCTACGAGAGGTATGCTATGATCATGAACACGTAGCAAAACCAGGTGTGGACTCTCGCGAGTAGCGCTCGGTGCTTGTCCAATTTTGAAATAAGTTTGAATGCCTTCAAGAAAGGGACTGGTGCCGTGATGAAAGTTGAGTTGTTGTATTGTGGTTATGATTTTTTCTGTTATAAGCAAGGCAGGACATAACACCGGAAGTAAGGAGTCTTGGGTTGTCTAATTTTGCTGGTTTAGGTACTTGTAAGTTGGACATAACGCTAGCCCGGTAGGCATCAAAAGCAAGGCTGTGTGGATTTTTTTGCCTGATTTTGAAACATTTGCCAAAGTTGTCAATGAATAGGTATTTTTAGTGTTAATATTGACACAACTTTCATTTTGCATTTCAATTTGTTCAGCCCTAGAAGAGCAGGAATTTCAATTTTCATTAGCTGGTAAAAGTATACCAGTCCAAGGACTCCGAAAAAAATGTTGTAGGTTGGAATGTAGGTTGTAAGCTGGGAGGTTGTAGGCTGGTAGGTCTTCTGATTTGTGTTGGTATGTTGTAGGTAGGTTGTAGGTTAGTATGTATGTAAGTTTGGGTCAGGCTTAATTGTTTTTCCTTTATTCCAACTTCTACTTTTTTATCTTGCGTAAAGTGTTTAAGAAGTCTGAATGAAAATAAAAAACATCATAACCTAACCTAATCTTACTTTCTACCCTACCACCTATTACCTACCAGCCTATACAGCCTATCTACCTTCTACCTACCTGTACCTACAAGTTACAACTTCCCTACCTTAAACCTGCCAACCGACAAGCTCCGAAGCATACAACCCACCTACCTAGCACCTACACCTATTTTATTTGGACTTATTGTATACTAATGCAAAAAATCTAATGATTGGAATTTTGGTTAACAATATTTGTGCCCTTGATGTAGAAAAAGAACGTTTTGCAACATGTTGCATAGGTAGGTATATTGTATTATACGTAGGCATTAGGCACCTATTATTTGTTATGCCATAACAGGTGTGAACTCTCACCATATAGAACACATGAATCTAAATGTATTATGGAAAAATGTAACATAGAATGTCAGCAATTCTTAAATGCATCTGCACAATATTAGTTGCACATGCATTCAGTGTCCCAAAATTGAGTTTTGGCTGGGTTGTCAGAGGGGAATATTATCCACCAAAAAGGGGTAGAGGGTGGAAACTGCTGGTTAGATTAGATACAAAAAGAGTGAGAAAAGATCAATAGCATTTATTTTTATCCATGAGTATCTATGATCATAAACCAACTATCTACATTCCACACAACTGCCTTTTGAGGTAACAAACTCAAGGTGTTCTTGGCTGAGAGTGGTTAATTGCTCTTAGAAATTGGTCGCGAATGTGGCAAATGAATTTCAGTATTTCCCACCCAAATCAACAAATTTTGGGACACTGTAATAATACATTATCCAGGTTTAGGGCCACACTAACAGTGATGACATGCCCTGTCGAGTAGAATTCCGAGTGACCCGGCCTAATGAATCCTAGAATTTTTGAAATTTTACCACCCTAGGGCAACACTTATCCGGCCTCCGGGGGCAGGGGACACAAAGGGGGTTCAAAATTCTGTAGGCGACACAAAATAAGTTTTTTTGACCTCTGCCCGCCATATCCGTCCCGTCTCCATCCCGTCTCCGTCACGTTTCCGTTTCCTCCCCGTACCATCTCCGTCCCCTCCTGTCTCCACCCTGTCTTTATCCTGTCCATCCCATCATCCCATCATCTCGTCTACCGACACTGGCCGGTCGCCGTCTACTCCACGCTCACATTCTCACGCTACTTGGCTGCCGCCCGTGAGAGGCCCTCCTTTCACCTGCCGCGGGGCGTGTCGGACTTCCTACACCGGCCCGCTGGCCTGTGATTACCAGAGATGACTGTCGGTCAGGAGATACGACCAGCGGGACACGGCTCACTGAGCGCCACACAGAAGGTCGAATAGAGGGGTGTAGTGCTAATGGGCGGATGGGATAATGCGTGCGGTTTAGAGATTTATAAGAAGTGAGATCAGCTCATCTAAGAAAGAATAACTACAATAATAATAAAAATCAAAATATGTCAAAAATAAATTAGGAGAGCTTGTCATGAGAAGACTTCATCATAAATAGATGTCTTAAAGCGATATAAAAATCATCGGAACCCCGAAGCAATTAAAGTTTGAGTTTCGCTTCTCTATTGTTCCGGCAGCCTCGCACGAATATGTATGTAGACGGTCACCACACCACACCTGAACAGAGGCGGCTGCGGGATCCTGTTGCACGCTGACCCAGCTATAGGGCGGGTGTCGTGTTCCAGTTGACCAGGCGGTCGTAAGTTGGAATACTTCCGTCACCTAGCAACACACCGCCCCGTGCCGTCTGTCAAGGTCACGCCCGAGGGGGGTCGGCTAGAGGTCAAATGCAGGTCTGTGTGTGCGCTGTGGATGTCTGGGCTCTGAAAGGTACCAGAGTTTGTTATGACACTGAGCAGAACGGCAGGCGTATGGCGAGGAAGTAAGCCGCGGGAAACGTTCGTTGAAACGTTCCCTAAAACTGTGACGCGACTACATATCAAGTGTCTGATAGGTAAGTCTCCGATAAATATATAAGCCTCATCGTATCCCCGCCTCAGCACTCTCTCGCTGACCGGCCACGAGCAATTAGGCCCAAGTTTCTCCTGGACGCCTCCTTTCCCCAATCATCGCAACGTCCAGCAGTACCAATCGTGTGTGTGGCGCGCCACCATTGTTGATTGATGAACCCACAGTGCCGCCACTACGGTGGTCATTTTGTCATCACACTTGTCCCCACCGCAATCACACAACATCTTAGTCATCGATCTAATCCGCAGCCCCGAAAACAAAAGTGGAAGGTACTAGTGGCCTCCTGGGACGAATACACATTACAGACATGTGCTGGTGTAGTACGTTTATTTCACAACAGTTGCTACACAAATGAGCTGCGTGGAATGCTAAGCAGTTTAAAACGAGCAAACCACTTTCTCTTCGCTGTCGACAAGCGACGATGGACACACGCTCACATAAATTAAAATGCACCGTGCGTAACGACGCCGGTGCCTTTGACCCGTTCTTGATAAATAAGCTCATTTAAACCGCCAAGGCCGCGAACAGTGGAACGATGCGATAAGGGGAGATTTATGTTAGATCAGAACATGCTCGATAAATAGAACACATCCCAATTAAAATAAACAGACTGGTCAAGGCCAGTCCTGTTCACTCATTTCTAAGAACGATGAAAATGTGTCTATTGTAAATTCACAATCAAAATTAATCGCAGCAAAGGCCGACTCACATGGACTGAGGCCGTCATCCTCACGGTAAAAATCGAACCTACCCTTCCACCTGTAGTTTTGTACTGGCTCAGTGCTCCAGGCACCTCCCCATGGCAGCGCTCGACAAGAAACTAGTCTTCACATCCCCTTCCAGTCTTTTCTTGATCATGTCTTCTAAAGTTTCCGCATACCGCCGAACAAGTAGCACACAAATACGCTCACGCTCACGACATTCGCTTATACCTACCTGCACGCACACACACACACACACTCACACTCACAAACACGACACTCCAGGCAGCCCGACAACACCCTCTTGCCTATACAATGCTACAGTAAAATATACCCGCTCTGGAGACCAGAAGTTCGTTGCCGCTTAGCTAGCGGATTTTTGGCTGTTCCTGAGATATGGTTGGCCCCTTGATCATGTGACCGAACTCCTTCTTTGTTACTATAGCCGCGAGTTCGATTGGCGAGCGTCTTGCTGCTTCCGAGTGAGCTTTTGATGAATGTTGCGACACACTGGAAGCGTCCTCCGAGCTCGAATACATGTTTATTGTTTATGGTAAGTTCTAGCGGCTTTGGCTTTGATGATTGGCCGTGAGCTGCTAAATATGCATCGCAGCTGCAAAGTTTGTAACCCACAGGTTCATTCATACGATCTGGGCTGCATAGTGATTGAGCATGTTAACAAGTTTATGAATATCTTGAAGTAGAATACAACAAGCTACTTGCATTGATCCTGTTTACCGATCATTTTAGGAGTTGATGACCCCTATTTTTAAATCTCGAATTTTGATTCTTCATGGATGTTTGTGCCCCAGTTGACCGGATTTTTGTGGCACCAGTAAGGTGGCACCAAGTTGTACACTTCGTTATAATTTTCGAAGAGCTCACAGTCAGGTTATTGGCTTATCAGCAGCAGCTTAACGTCTCTCCTCACACCAGACGTCCCCGAGAGTTTTCCCACAGACGGCCGCTGCTCCGGAGTTCTCACATGAGGAACTGTTGCTCCTCCTCCTCCTCATAGCGCACCTGTTTGGGGTCTCCGATCAGCAGCTCGTCCGGTCCGAGTTCCCGGGCGATCTCCTGCAGCACGGCCCTCTTCATCTCCTCAGTCTGCTCCAAATCGGCGTCCCAACCGTTCACCGGCCAGCGACCAAACACGCCCTGCTTCGACAGCAGCGCCACCTGCGAGTAGAAGCTTTCCGGACTCTCCACCAGGTGACGGTGAAGCTGGTCCAGCTGGGCGTCGGTGAGGCTGCGCAGCCAGCGGACGAAGGGACCGAGCCGGTGTTCGACATAGTCACGCAGGCGGAGGCAGAGCCGGGTGCTGTTGAGGCCGTCCGAGCCGCCCCAGATGATCACTCCGGCGGGCCGGCGCGCGGCGGCCTGGCCGAGCGAGCCCAGCAGGTCGGCTGGTGAGAGGAAGTCGGTGTGCCGCTCGTGGTAGGCGTACCAGGTGTAGGGGAACACCGGGCGGCCGCCGACCAGCCGGGACATCCGGTCGGCTTCCTCCAGCCGAGAGCGAGTCTGGGGACAGGGGAGGGGGCTGTATCAGCAGCAGCACGCATATCGGATCCTCATCCTCCCCTCACCTATCTAAGAAGGGAAGCTGAATCGAGAACGACGATCACATTAAACGTGCTTTGTTTTTAAATAGACGACATTTTTATCGATGTGAGGGATACATTTGAAATTCATTTTTGATGTCTTCTACTTCAGTGCAGAATTACCGTTGGTCCATGCTTACCTCCATCGTCTTCTCCCATGCGGTGTATTTGTATTTCAGGTAGTAGATCGATGGGTAGAGGGCGTCAGAGTTTTCATAAAGCCACAACGTCCTGAAAATAATGATAATATTTGTAGTCAACAACCAGCTATACTACAGCACAAACAGCTATTCGGTATGACTTCAGCTAAAAAAATCGACATTGCGTCTACTAATTTTGAAGAAAATTCAACACATTCACGACTAAGGCTAGCTTCCGTAACGAGCCCGTAAAGCCACTCACCGTTACCATAGCTCCCTTCCCATTCACTGACTTGTCGCTATCCTGGCCAACAAATCCTCCCCACGGACTCACTTGTCGTTGTCCTGACTGATGGCCGGCGCGCAGCTCTCCACATGCGGGATGTAGGCCTTGCAGTAGGGGTAGTGGTAGTAGCCCCAGAGGGCGCTCGGCCGGAGCCGCCGAGCCAGCTGCAGAGTCTGCTCCAGGTACTGGCGGGCGGGGCGCTCAAACAGCGCCTCAGCCTGTGTGGATGGAAGAGCAGACGGTCAGGGCTGGGTGTATAGACTGACATCTATCGGGAAAACTGAGAACTAGTGAGTGCTCATCGGAGGAGACCGGCAGTTGTGTCGACTGTCGATTGAGTTGAGTTGAACATTATTGTAAAGGAATGGCCTCGGCCACTGCGGCACATCGTGGTCGGTCGCCGACCCAGCCGATTGTACCCCTCCCGCCTCACATGCTCCCTCAGTCCCATCCTATGGTCCTCAAATGGTCTTATTAGGCTGAGAAGGCCTAGCATGGCCAGACTCTATCCCCACCTCAATACACGATATACATCTATCGCCACCTGAATACACGACCCAATACAAAATGTTTCGCACTTCCTCATTCTCGTGTATTTAGACTCGTTTCATCCCTTGTCGTAGCCAACTGTCCCCCACCATCCCCATCTTCCCTCGCTATCCCTAAGTCCTAACCACCGCCAGCCATCCCTAGCCATCCCTAGCCATCCCTAGCCATCCCGCTCCAGTCTCTGTTCTTAGCCATCCCTCTCCGTCCCTCCCGATCCCCCACCAACCCTCCCCGTCCCTTACCGTTCCTCCCCGTCCCTCGACTTCCCTCCTCGTCCCTCCTAGTCCCTCGCTATCCCTTTTCACCCCCCACCGTCCCTCACCGTGTAATTGCCGGCCGTCTGTGCGTCCATGTCAGTCGGATCGGGGATGACCCCGGCCGCCACCAGCGAGCGGTGGTACTCCTTGGAGAAATTGCGGTATTTTATCTCGCCGGTACTGCGCAGAGTCGGCTGCCACTGCTCAAAATCGATCACCGCCGGACCTGCCGGTGGAGGGGAGCGAATGTGTCAGGTGGAGTGACTGATTGGGAAGAAATGTCCAAACATCTCGGGAAACTTTGGAGTAAAACCTGCCATTCACATAAACCTTTACCCCTAAGAATAGAAACTATCGATGGTTTGAAACAGGGGCGTAGGCAGGGGGGGGGCCACTGGGCCATGGCCCCCCCTTGGGCGCCGAAGGCGCCCTTTGCGATTGGAGGGCGCCGAAGGCGCCCTCCAATCGCAAAGCCGCCACCCTGCTACACATTGCCGCCCTTCTGCTGATCGGCGTCCTCATAATTATTGGCGCTCTCCTACCTATTGAGCCCTCATGTGAAATTTTGAAGGCCGCCTTTCTCCCTTTTGGCACCCTCTTGTTCAGTGCCGCCCTCCTACCTATTGGTTCCCTAGTCCTTCCTGTTGAATGTTAATCGGGGCCCTTCTCCTATTGGCGCCCTCGTGTAGATCGCCGCCCTCCTAACCACTGGCACCCTCCTGTTGATCACCGCCCTCCTATCCACTGGCACCTTCCTGTTGACCAGCGCCCTCCGCACAGACGCCCTCCTGTTCGTGTCATCCTCTTGAGCAAAGGCGCCCTCCTCACCATTGCCACCCCCATTTTAATCGTCACGCTTCCGCTCATTGGCGACTTCCAGTTGATGACCGCCCTCCCACCTATTGGCGACCTCTTGTTGATCGCCACCCTCCTATTGGTGCTCTCCTGTTCCTCGCCACCCTCTTACCTGGTGGCGCCCTCCTGTTGATTGTTGATCGGCGCCCTCCTACCTATTGGTGCCCTCCTGTTGATCGCTGCCCTTCTATCCATTGGCGCCCTCCTGCTGCTTGCCAACTTCCTACCTATCGGTGCCCTACTGTCGAAACTCGGGATGTTGATCGGGGCTCTTCTACCTATTAGTGCCCTCCTGTGGATCGCAGCCCTTCTACCTATTGGCAACATCCGTTGATCGCTGCCCTCCTATCATTTATTTACTCCTTTGGCATGTTTTTCAACTTAGTCGTTCTATTGCACATAGTTGATGTCTTGCCTGTGAAAACTGCCACAAATGAACGTGCATTCAGCACAATGAATGAAGTATCTATACCTACCAAAACTATCTACGCTCTACGATGCATAAAACACGTCTTTGGTCTTAACGGATTGATCCTACTTTACGTGCATCATGGCATCTATATGGATTACGATTAAGTATTGTCAACAGGTTCGGGCGCAACAGCAGGCATCTGAAGTTTCGGTGATTGAAACTGGTTATGTGGGTACACTGTATGCATCTGTGAGAAGGCTATGAAGGCTGGTCTGAGGTAATTTGGATGATGTTTACGCATCTCGCGCTCCGGTATCAATCCGATACGGTGATCTGGTGCGTAGATATGCCACCGCCAATAAACTTTTATACATCGACACCCATGAGCCAAGCTTTCTGTACAGTTTGTGTGGCAGCGGCCCGACCAAACCTTAGGTATTTTTTACACCTTCAAATTTGGTAAAAGAGCGAGAGGAGCTTTGAACAGTGATCGTATAAAAGGCGTGCCTAAAAAGCGGAGGAAAAGGTTGTTTTCAAAAATTTCGCGCGCCTTCGGCGCAGCATTTCAAGAACACTTGACCTTTTGTGACCTGGAGTATAAAGAATACACACGATGCAAAATCAATGCAGCACGACCTATACGAGGTTACGCAAAAAAAACTGGTGGCATGGTAAAAAACGCCTCCCAACCCCCCAACCCCCACTGAGCGATTTTTTATCTCGCGACCGTATGGCGCCCTCCTTGGGTGAGGTGGCGCCCTCCAAACCCTTGGCCCCCCCCCCCTTCGCGATTTTCTAAATACGCCGCTGGTTTGAAACGTTTTTTAGCATAGTTAAGTATGACTGTATAATTAACATTGTAATAAGAATTAAGAATGGATAACAGGTACTATTTTGCTCATTACTAAAGGAAGCAAAAAAAAAATCCAGAATAAGAAAGAATAGACACATTTGTAGCACTTTGCAATGTTAATGTTCCGTCGGCGTCGTCCCTATGTAAAACGACCTATGTCCTATTGGTTCGGAACATCTCATGAAGAGGTACGAGAGAGACGTTCTAAGGGATTATCAATCTCGTGTTTATCGAACAACAGGAAGATAATCAATCCAATGAACATCTTCACTCTAAATATTATACCAGTATAACGCCTTTTGGGGCGACTAACGGAGCGAGCGAGAGGGTGAGCCTTGCACGTGCGAAATTTCGACGGGGTACCTCCAGCTGACTTGTGCACGGCACCCTACTAACCGGTCTCTAGCGATGTGCCAAATTTGAGCACAATCGGCCCAGCCGTTCTCGAGATCTGGAAGCGGCACCCTGCACGTGCGCACGTGCAAAATGGGTCCCAACTGACTTTTGCACGGCACCCTACTAACCGGTCCCTAACCATGTGCCAAATTTGAGCGCCATCGGTCCAGCCGTTCTCGAGATCTGGAATCGACCCCTGCACGTGCGCACGTGCAGCAGCACCCCAACTCTGGCACATGGATATGCATTGCCTAGTGGGTGCCTACTTACATGCCAACTTTCAGCGCAATCGGCCAAGTGGTTACCGAGATATTGCAACAATTATAAAAGTGACACCTCTTCGTTTTGCACGTGGCACGTGCATAAGGGGTCACCCACATGCATCGGGAATAGTCCAATACTTGGTAGAAGGAATGAAGCTACCCTACAAAAATTACCGCGTGTAAATCGGTCAAGTGGTTGCTGAGATATAAGCCTCGCAAAAGCGTGACCACGGCCGGTCGGCCGGCCGGCCGCTCATACTCAGAAATTTCCGTTAATCTAAGGAAAGACTACGCTCGCTTCGCTCGCTCCGTACAAAGGATTTTCACCATACACCATGCCCCATTCTCCGCTTATGGGAACCTGGCTCTGGTAAGTAATCAAATCATCTCTGAAAGGGGGACGTTCGCTCGGCTCCCAGCGGATCCATGCCCGCTGGCCGCTGGGCCGACCTCGTCCGCTCCCATGGCGACAAACATCTCTCGCATTAAATGGTGTTTTGAACCCGTTCGCCAGGGGAATGACCTCTGGACGGCTTGTGAAATTACACAGCCGCGCGAAAACCCGATAAACAAAACAACTTGGAGACGCGGGGGAAGGTATGCTGTGCGCTGGGAGGCGAAGGGGTCATTGTCCGTCTTATGAGACAGTCTCCAGTGGTGCTTGGTGACTAAGGACGGTGGGGCAATCGGACGACGAGGGAGAGGAAAGGAGGGAGGGAAAGAGTACGGATCAAAGTACGATGGGGGTAGATATGTGCGGCTGCGTTCCGCTGAATTTGGGACATCTAGATAAGATAATAGAAAAATGCGGATGGGCTTTTCTAGGGTCCTCAAAAACACTCGATGTAAAAGCAAGTAATTACACAATACACATGCGGTGAAATATTACACCATATTCTTTTATCGTGGCGGCATCGTTAAAAATGTAACACATTCGTGACCTTTAAATCCCATTCTCACCTGAGTAATGTCTCGGAATAATGTCCTCGATGTCCTTCCGTAGCTGTTCGAGGTGTTTATTGAGATCTCCCGACTGGGGGATGCCTCCGTTGACGGGCTCCTCCCGTTTGAAGATCCTGCCGTCTCTCCTGGTCACCTTCTTCTGCAGGTAGTGCGGAAACTGACCCGGCTGGTAGAGGATGTTGAACCGGTCGCCGTGGAAGGTGTCTCCCGTGTTCTGGATGATACCGAACTTGGAGAGGTCGAACTTCACCGACTTCGGACACTGGGAAGCAGGGTACGGATGCTGTTAGAAGTTGGATTGAGATGGCCGAGCGTTAAAAATCGAAAGACGGGTAAAGCATGGCTGAAATTGATCCTCGTATTCAGTGCGAGTGGTATATCAATCATGCAATGCAGACTTCAACCTCCAATATGAAAAAAGATCTACGTGACGCAAATACGTTAACCTAATAGCCCAGATTCTTCAACCAAGTTCAAAGGGTGCATGTTTTGAAGAAATGTCACAGTTTATCTGTGTTATCTCAATGCCAGGAATTTGCCTGTTTGCGTGTCCCGACCCCCGGGCCGGGTCCGTGTACCCTCCCCTGCCCCTTTCCAGCCTCCTCCATGCTATCCTGCCTATTGGTACCGCGTTTTGGATAGCAGAGATAAGGCGACCTCCGAATGCCTCAGAACCTTCCCCTTCTGTTATACATTGCCGTTTTCAGCGATGTTTCTATCGCTCAAAAGCGGTCCGCGATTCATTCTGTCCGTGACTGGTGACGTCACAGGTCAGCACACACGCAGACGCACACACACATACACACACAGCCGCGCGCAGCGGGGCTCTGTTGCCGTGCAGGGTCGGCCGCCGGTCTGCAGCGAAGACGGTACAAGGCGAACCGGGGACGACTGTGCAGAACTCTGCGTTAATCCGCCCACCGCACCGGTTGGCCTATATATCAACAGATTCACTGCTATCCAACGATTCAACGGGACTTTCTCGTTTGCACTTTCCGAAGTGTAAGCACCGTACGGAGGCGAATGCGTTCCTTCCAGAACAATAGCGCGAGTGATTAAGGTGTATTGTTGATATTTTTTACCATCATATTTTCCCAGATTTGCCAAAAGAGTCTGATTTACATACAAATGCATCATGAATCTTCTATATTGCTTGGGGCTGCTCGAGAAACGTTTAAATATATCAATGCATAAGCAGCGATAAAATGACCGACCAGTGGGTATGGACTTAAGTTCAAACGATTCTTAAACGGTTCTGGCAGTTGGACGTGAGATTGTTTAGAAAGCAGCCCGACAAGGAGCAAAAATATTCCGCATGATTACATACCAATGATACCACGCCGCTCACACATGAGCGGGCTGAATGAATGAATGAATGAATGAATGAATGAATGAATGAATGAATGAATGAATGAATGTATTGTTCCACGACCCCATGTCGGGGTAAGGGAAGCTAGGGCCGCGTGGCACGGTTAGCTTTACATGCCGCATTTAAGTCTCCCGGCGCGGTTAGCCAGACATACTGCATTACAGTCTCCCGGCGCGGTTGGCTAGATATGCTGCATGAAAGTCTCCTGGCGCGGTTGGCTAGATATGCTGCATTTAAGTCTCCCGGTGCGGTTAGCTAGACATGCCGCATCAAAGTCTCCCGGTGCGGTTGGCTAGATATGCTGCATTTAAGTCTCCCGGCGCGGTTAGCTAGACATGTCGCATTGCAGTCTCCCGGCGCGGTTAGCCAGACATACTGCATTACAGTCTCCCGGCGCGGTTGGCTAGATATGCTGCATGAAAGTCTCCTGGCGCGGTTGGCTAGATATGCTGCATTTAAGTCTCCCGGTGCGGTTAGCTAGACATGCCGCATCAAAGTCTCCCGGTGCGGTTGGCTAGATATGCTGCATTTAAGTCTCCCGGCGCGGTTAGCTAGACATGTCGCATTGCAATCTCCCGGCGCGGTTAGCCAGACATGCCGCATTACAGTCTCCCGGCGCGGTTAGCCAGACATGTCGCATTGCAGTTTCCCGGCGCGGTTAGCTAGACATGCTGCGCTGCAGTTTCCCGGCGCGGTTAGCTAGACATGCTGCGTTGCAGTCTCCCCGCGCGGTTAGCTAGACATGTCGCATTGCAGTTTCCCGGCGCGGTTAGCTAGACATGTCGCATTGCAGTCTCCCGGCGCGGTTAGCCAGACATGCCGCATTAAAGTCTCCCGGCGCAGTTAGCTAGACATGCTGCATTAGTCTCTCGGCGTGGTAAGCCTAACATGCCGAATTAAAGTCTCCCGGCGCCGTCAGCCAGACATGCCGCGTTGCAGTCTCCCGGTGCGGCTCGTTATATAAACATGCTGCATTAGTCTCCCGGCGCGGTTGGCTAGCCATTCCGCATTGAAGTCTGCTGGATTTGTTAGACAGCCATGCCGTGTTTAAGTCTCCCAGCGCGGTTAGCTAGACAGTATAGACATGCTGCGTTGAAGTCTTCCGGTGCGGTTTTAGTAGCCCATGCGCCGTCGCAGTTCCCGGTGACGCGTTCGATGCGGCTTTATTCCTATGAAGTTTGAATGTTTCTTACGGGATAATTACTAAACTTGCTTGGCTATAACCTTAAATTAACTTCTTTGTAGCTGTTTAGATAACTTAAAATATTTGAGATCACTGGTTCACTCCCGGACCGTGGTTTTCTTCTTTTTTTCAAGCTCCGATGGGGCCGGTGGTCTCGGCAGTTTCAGCGCACTCATCAATGCTCAAGAAGTGAATTGCTGGCTTCTGAATATTTACCTACAATGTCCGTAAAACAGAACAAAAGCGAAATTGAAATGACAATCGCGGTCTTGGATTTACGGCAGCTAGACCCTCGGTAAGATTGAGATCAAGCAGGATCTGTTTAAACAGCCAATAGCAGCTGAGGAACATTAAAGATCCGTCACGAGACACTCCTTACCTCTTCCGTGGGGACATTCCAATAGACATTGAGCGCAGACGCGCTACCACTCCACGCCAACAGACACAACACCACAAACATCTTCATCGCACCCATCCTCACAGCCTCAACACCACCACTCCAAAACCACATAAAACTCCACTCTCGAGTCGGCCGGGACCACGTGCTCTAGCGGCCCCCGGTGAGCCCTGGCCGCGGCCCGGCGACCGCCCTCGCAGCCCTCAGAACGGGTAGTACCCGAGGGTACCTACATACAGTAGTATGTAGGTACCCTGGGTAGTACCCGAGCCGAACGGGTGAAAAGGCCGTCCGCCGGCCACCGCCGCCGGCGGCCGCGACCTCTGATTGGTCGTCTGTGCCAGACACTGCCGTTAGAGGGGGGGGGGGGGGTACGCGAGACACACGCACAGCTCTGTGTCGAAAGGCTGAAACGAAAATGTGCCAAGGGGTCTCCGGATAAAAGTGGTTATGGCTGGGTTTGGAGCGAAAGGGTAACTCTACGAATGTAGATAAAAATAGTTTGCCTCTTGCAAAAAGTTGCAAAAAACATGCGACATGCTGTTTAATTTTTTTTGCTGAATGACCTGACGTAGCTAAATGTTACAATATTCAAGCGTGAATACAAATTTGTAAAATGCTTTGGTTTCGAAATTCAAGAAATGTGGAATCAAACTCTTTCGTTGTAAATCAAGCATTACCAAACCATGAAAACTAAGCAACTGTAATAAGCAAATGCTCGCGGTAAGAGATGAGTTGACGCTCTACGAAGCGTTGCTGCTCCTCATTTTTTCTTAGGGGAATTCATCATCTCAACACAAACCGGTCGAAACAGTTGTGTCGAAAATCTTTAAGTCTGTTTATTTGTCGAAAATCTTTGGGCACATAATGCACCGTCAGTAGCCAATGTTCGTCCCTAAATTACACCAAACAAACAGACTACACAAAAAGATTAGGCTTGTTCGGCGATTTTTGTTGGTACGATTTGTGAACGGCTTACAGTTCACATTTCAATTAAAGAATACTACACTGAAAACAATTTCACCCAAAACTGGCGAGTAAACCGGTGCCTCGCGGGTACCCCTATCCGCAACCATTTTTGACCACCCTCCCAGGAGTCAATTTAGGACATAACACTTTCGCAATTCACTCTGGAGAGTAGTAACCCTCCACGACTATTCGCGCACCAGTGGCTCGCGACCCCTCCATCGAAAGGTATTCATCGACGCCTACCTGGCAGCAGCGACCCACAAACCCCTAGGAGATGGGGTTACCCTCCACGCCTACCCTTCGCCGACCAAGTCACGAGGGCCAAAAAAACTCCCACGCTTGACCATATTTGCGGGAAAATATCTATGTTATAGCAATCTCACACCTAGGAAACATCGGTGAGAAAGTTTCACACTGGTGGGAAAGGTCAAATCGAATTCCCATAGAAAATTCGACATGAATCAGTCACCGGCAGTCATGCAGACCGCCCGAAATCAAGAGGATGTGTCGCCTTTATTTATTTATTTATTTGTGTTTGGGGCATTTCGGTCAAAATGACCATTGCATGCCCATGTGTGAACATCAATGTATTCTAATATCGATGAGGATATTTAAATATTGTCTAAGCTAGAGTTTGTCGAATAATCTAATTTCACGAAGGTATGCGAAGAGGAGATCAATCAAGGGTTCTTCAGAATCGCCGAGAACAGAAGCCAATGTGAATTGTATGTTCCTTCGATTGCAATAATCGAGCATCCGTTGTCTTGTATTGTCGAATTTTCTGCAGTCAATAATTATATGTTGAACTGATTGTACGCAGTTACATAGTGAACACCTTGGGCGGGCGTCTCGAGTATATATATGGTTATGTGTATATTTTGTATGGCCCAATCGCATCCTTGCTAATATCCTTTCTTCATGTCTATTATTCCTTTTTGCGGTATGCCATACTTCAATCTTTTCTTTTATCTGTCTGAGTTGTGTATGCTGTGTTATTTGTACCCATTGTTCCTGCCATTTTCTAAAAATAGCCTGTCTTATGTTTGCTCTGATAGAGTTGTATTCCATAGGGATGTTTGTGATACTTGTAAGATTCAGGGCATTTTTGGCGTGTTCGTCTGCTTTTGTATTTCCGTATATACCGCTATGGCCTGGTATCCAGAGAAAGTGGACCTTTTTTCCGTTGTTCGACAATATATGTAATTTGTTAAAGATGTGAATGAGAAGAGGTGATGCTGGATATGGAGCTTCTAGCGATTGAGCAACAGATCGTGAATCCGTGCAGATCATAGTTTGTGCCAAAGACTTTTCATTAGCCAAATCAATTGCTTTTACTATGGCATGAAGTTCGGCTATGAATATCCCAGTTCCATTTTGTAAGCGAGTAGATATTGAATGATTTCCTACGGGATCAAAGACGGCGTTTGCGACGCGGTCACCCGACTTGGACCCGTCCGTAAAAATAAAATGATGTGTAGGAAATTCTTGTTGTGTCTGAAGGAACTTGTGTTGTATTTCTGTGTCTGTCACTTGTGTTTTCGGGCAATCAATAAGAAATGAAACTTTCCAAGACCTGACTACCCATGGAGGGGTGTTCAGTATTGGAAGTGGAAGAATGTTTGGTTGAATGAAGTTAATTTCGTTACAAAATTTCCTTATTCTAGAGGCAATGGTGAGTCCCGATCGTTTCTCTGCGGGACCTAAGCGATTGTGGTGAATTGATGGAAGAATGGTAAGTGTTTTGAATGCGCTGTGGTCTGGGTGAAATCTGACTTTACTACTGAATCGTAAAGTCTGTTCGATGCGTCTAAGGTGTAACGGTGGTATTGTTGCCTCAACTTGAAGGGATGGAATTGGTGAAGTTTTCATCGCGCCAGTTGCAATCCTAATAAATGAATTTTGGATGGTGTCAAGTTTCTTTAAAGTGTTGTCGCTTCCTCCGGAATAAACTACAGAGCCATATTCAATTACTGGTAAGATGAGCGACTTATATAATTGGAGAAGTGTTTGCCGGTCAGCCCCAAAATCTGTGCCAGCAACACAGCGGAATAAGTTAAGTCTCCTTGTACATTTTGTTTTAACATATTGGACGTGTTTACTCATGGACAATCTATTATCTAATACAACGCCAAGGAACTTGAATGAATTGACACGAGGTATAATGTGTCCGGATAAACGTAAGTGTGAAGGCTCCAGCATTCTAGTATTCTTTGTAAAAACCATGACAGCAGACTTCGTTGGAGAAAATATGCAACCATTCTGCCGGGACCATTCATCGAGATTGTTGAGTATATTTTGAAGACGGGGAACAGAATATTGCGAATCGTCATCTGTGCACCAAATGGCGCAATCATCCGCAAATAATGAGTATTGAATATCTTGAGGAACAGAGTTAAATATATCATTTATCATTATATTGAAGAGCATAGGTGACAAGCAGCTTCCCTGCGGTAGACCGTTTTCGAAAGAGAAAGTATCTGAGAAGATGGAGCGAAAACGCAGCTGAAAACTACGAGCACCTGTTAGGAAGCCAACTAAATACCAAGCGAGATGTCCGCGTAAACCGAGATTGTGAAGTTTGCGTAGAAGTGTTGGCCGATGTACCGTGTCGTAAGCACGGGTGATATCTAAAAAGACAGCAGTGGTGTGTTTTTTAAACTTAAAACCCTTGCGGATGTCTGTTTCAAGGCGGATTATGTGATCTAATGTACTATGATTTTTCCTGAAGCCACTTTGATATTTTGATAACAATGTATTTTTCTCCAGAAACCATTCTAAACGTTTCCCAACCATTCGTTCGAATATCTTTCCAAAACAACTAGTCAAAGAAATTGGACGGTAGTTGTTTGGATCTTTACGGCTTTTTCCTGGTTTAAGAAGTGCAATAACAACTGCTTCCTTCCATGCTTCTGGAAATGCCTGTTTTGTCCACAAATCATTAAATGTTTGCAAAATAAAGTGTAGGGTAGAATCCGGAAGGTGACGAAAGAACTGATAATGTAGCTGGTCTGGGCCGACAGAGGTGTTCCCAGTGGACTGTATGGCGTTTCGAAGTTCCGATAAGGAAAATATATCATTGTATTGTTCTATATTTTCGGATACAAATGCATGTGGTGGAAGGCGAGACTGTCTTTGAACATAATCGATGAATCCTGCCCTGTAGTGACGTGATGCACTATGATGGGCTATGGTTTGTGCGATTGTGTTAACAATGTCCTTTGGTTCTGTAATATTTGTGTTATTGACGTGTAAAATTGGAAGAGACGTGAAACTTCTCTTGCCCGACAGAGAGCGTACCAAGTTCCATATTTTACTCAGAGGGGTACGATAGTTGAGTTGCGAAAGGAAAGACTTCCAGGAGGCTCGTTTTGCCTCTCTGATAGTCCTTTTGCACCGTGCTCGTTCTTGGTTTCTTAGAAGAAGTGTTGTATTATTTCTATGGCGTAAGTATAGGCGGAAAGCTCGCTTACGCTTTGCTATGGCGTGAGCTACATTATCAGACCACCATGGGACTCGCTTACATTTTGAAGAAGTAGATGTTTTCGGAATGGATACTTCCGCTGCTGTTAAAATAGTTTCTGTGAGGAATTTAATGCCATGTTCTGGAGACTGAAATTGCTCATGGTCTACCTCACAAAAGGTTCGGAATTTCTCCCAGTCGGCCTTTTTGAAATTCCAACGTGGAACCGAACCCTGGACAACATCAGCATCTGAAGAGAATGTTGTTCGTATCTGGATGGGATAGTGATCACTATGGTGGATGTCATGGTCGATAGACCAATCGAACATTGTAGCGATTTGTGTCGAGCATATTGAAAGATCAATAGCAGTCTCACTGTTGTGTGCTAATGAAAAATATGTGTTATCTCCTTTGTTAAGGAAGACAAGTTGATTTGTGTCGAGAAATCGTTCAATTATATCACCGCGCTCATCGGAGACGCCAATGCTTCGGCCCCAAAGCGGACTGTGAGCATTAAAGTCTCCAAGCAGTAGAAATGGATGTTGAAATTGTGCTATTAGATTCCGTCCATTTAAGCGAATGGTACAAGCAACAGCTTGTAATGGAGTGTTTAATGTGAGTAAATCATGTACATAGTCATTACTAATATACAAAGCGGTGCCGCCATGGTGCCGCTCGCCATCAGTTTCATCATATCGGTACAAAGAGTAATTGAATAACGAGAAATTATAGGGATCAGTTGGAAGTAACCATGTCTCTTGTAGTGCTATGACAATGGGTGCTAATAACAAAAATAGCATTTTGCTTTCGGCC